CTCATGTAGAACTATGATCAGTCCATCAGTATATCAGGTTGACTTGATATCTTTTTCCTCCAGTTCATTCTGGCAGCCTGGTTGGTAGTATTCCTAAGACTCCCAACCTAAAGATTCTTGCCTATTTGGCTATTATGACCAGATACTATGATCTTAATATCCATTTCCCTGAGCTAGCCTTTACAGTAAGGCCATCGAAGATCCAGCTATCTCTCTACTCAGGTCTTTTCAAATGGACTTCTTGTTACCTAATTTCAACAAATTTACATAGTCACAAGGACTTATCTAGTGTTTGCACTACCTGATTTGTTAGTTTGCATTCCTTTGTGTAATGCCATATTTACACAGATGCTCTATAACCTGCCAGTTATGCTGGTGCGACCACCATTACAAATATTTTAATTCAATCATTAGTAACAGTTGTTGTAATATAAATATTATATAGGTAATTATCCAAATTTTCACTATCAATGGAATTTGAACACCCAACCTATCACTTGAGGGGTTGACAACCTAACTACTTCACTAGGTCACTACACCCCATCTGTGTTTGTTTATTTATTTGCAAGAATACATGTTTGTTTATTTGTTTTTTGTTATATTTATTGTTTATTTAGTTTTACTTTATATGTCATATATGTGATCTGCAATACAGAGTTTTTGTGTTTTGTTGTTTTTTTTTAAAAATATTCAAAAACAACAAAATTTTTCAAAAAATTTAATGATAAACTACTATGATACTATTATTTTGGTTTATGATACTAACTATCTATATCTAATTTTCAATTAGTTTTTTTTTTGCCTAATTGATTTTTGTACTTTGAATTGTTAGTTTTTGTGTTTTTTACAATTTTTTTTCTACTTTAAACTTGGTTGTAAAAATCAGCAGAGAGAGTTTTTTTGTTATTAATATCTTGATAATTAATTATATAAAACAAAATAAATATTTTAAAAATATAAGTAAGTATTTAAACTTCTTAACTAATATATATATTAAAAATATTTTAATAATATAATAAAACTTACAATGCAGAAAGTTTAAATAAGCAATACTAACTCATGATAAGACTACTGATCATAGAAAACTAAGGAACTAAGATAATGGAAATCTACTTGAAAATTTCTGAGTAAAAAGATAGCATGAACTTTTAATAGTATCATTAAACTGATTGAAGTTCAAGAAACACTTTTGTAGAAACAAGTTGTTAAACTAAATGCCAAATATATGTAGAGAAGCATATAATCAACCAGGCTGCTAAACTCACCAGAGGAAAAAAATACAGAAGTATACTATATTAGGTCATTTGGATTAGTAGTCTGGCCAGAGATTACTAGTTCTAAGTTATAGCTAATAGGAGATGATGAAGAAGATGTCAAGAAGATAGGTACTAAGGTTCTAGTGAATTTTATAAAAGTAGAAATAGTGTAATGTAGTAGTTAAACAGGTAACTCCTATGACTGCAAGTGTTAGATAACTATAGCATATTGTATAAAACTAGGTCAGTATATTTAGAACATAAAAGCTCTAGTAAGTTTTTTGTTAAGAATAAAGTAATTCTAAAAGTACTGATCAGTATTAGAAATTTGGATGGGTATAGTCTTGAAGATGTTCTTGTAATACAAGATAGATTGCATATACAAAGGGTTTAAATAGGCAAGACCTTTAGTTAATTTGCAAGTATGGCATCTAATGTAGAACTTATATAACAATATATAAGTGAACTACTTAAATTAGACACCAAAAGTGCATATGTGACTAGTTGTAACCTCTAATGTAAAGAAGCCTCTGAAGGCAACACATGTCCTATATACTTGAATAAAAATATTACATTCTGAAGATAAAGATTTTAATATTAAAAAAATAATAATAATAAACAATACTTATAGTTAGATTACTAATATAATAACTAGTATAAAATCTGTATAAACAGACTATTTAAAATAGATATTAAAAATATATGTATAACTAGTTATATTCTCTAATGCAAAGATAACTTTTTTGAAACTTTGGTTATAAGTTTCTATATTTTATAATATTGAATATATAAAAATCTTAGTTCTTAAGAGATTAGTTTAAATTAAAAAAATAAAAATTTAAATATAAAAATTATATTGTACAAATCTAACTAATTAAAAACAACAATACAATATATTTATTTAATATATATATATTCAACTACATACTTAACACAGCTTAAACAATACAGAACTTTTTACTATTTTAGGTTACTATATACTTATAATTATATTTGCAATTGACAAATTAACAATATATAAAAAATGAACATAACACTTGCCTACTTATTGAGATAGCAACAATAAAACATCTATTTGAATACTCAAATAAATCAAATATAATACCCAACTAACAATATAATCAATTATCAAATTAATAATATATATTATAACTAACAAAAACTAGATGAACCTCTAGTATGTTTAGATTGCAGATAAATTAGATAAAACTAGATAGATATTATCTAAAAAAATAATGGTTTTTTAATAAATAAAAACAGAATTACTAAAAAAAAACCATTAGTTTTTAATATACTAAATACATATTATTTTTAGAAATAGTAGAGTATGCAATTTCATCCTTTTTGATTCATAAAAATGATCTACTTGTTTTATAAAAGTTAAAAAAGTTAAATTATATAAAAAATGTCCTTTTTTTACGAATCAAAAAGAGTGAACTCTGTAAATCAAAAGGGATGCATTTGTAATAAAGTATAATACCAATTTTTATATATAGCATACATAAAATTTTGCAAGTAGGATTAAGTAATTTTGACCATATCATAGTCAGTTGTACCGGATTAACCGATTAAGCAACGGTCAACCGAATTTTCCGGTCCGGTTCGGTTGTCCGATAATTGTACAATCGGTTCAAAACACTACCAACTTTTAACTTTGACATTATATAATCTGCCACTTGATTCACCCCACCACAGTACTTCCCTTTACCTTATAAAAATCAAAATTTTATTAAATAAATGAAAATTAGCATATTGAGAAAGTTATTCAGAAGATCAAAATATATAATTTCTAAAAGCTTGATACGAATTAACTTTTATTAATATATTTTTATTTTTTATGCCTTACAAGAACCAGGTTTTAGAATTTGGTACTGAGTTTAACTTAGGTTTGGAACTTATTATATGAAACCTGGTTCTTAGATTGTTAATTTGGAACCTAAAGGCTTTAAAACTTAAACCAAACCTAAACTAACTTTACCATCCCCTATGCCCACCACGAAGAGCCAGCACAAGATGGAGAACTTCACCAGGTTTTATGCCAGCTTCTCTGACAGTCTTTTCATCAGTTCTTGATGTGTAAATAAATTATAACCTTAAGTAAGCTGGTTAAGCAAAAATTTAATCAAAAAAAAACAGTACATACAGTTGCTTCCCGCCGTGAATTAGACGTTGTTGAGCAGGCGGAATACCTTCTTTTTCTTCTACACGTTCCTTTACTCTTGCTACCTAACAGTTTGATCGATATAAATTATAAATATGCGCAGCAAAATCCAAGAACAGCATTGAATAGAAGCCAACCGTATCGTCATGTTCAATATCAATTTCAATCTACAAGAGTGCAATTATCATCAATAAATTGATTTTTCCATAAGCAAACTTTTTAGCAACATACTTCTTTGCCGGTAAGAGTCTAAAAAGTAGTGAAGAGAGAATTATAATTTGATCAGAGAAATATTATAGATCTCAATAAGGACACGACATTACCTTTACTTTGATGAGCATTTTTATTTACGTATATGCAGAGAATAATAATAAATTATTGCTAGTGTGAAAGCTTAAGAATCTAGAACATGAAACACCGAAAAATGGTTTAAAGCGAAGCTGTTGAATGGAGATAAGCTACGATCTGCCGATGTCAAACGTTAGTCACATGAAGGGAACACAGGCCCCGACCGAGCTACAAAAAAAAAAAATTCCGAAACTCCGTATTCTATGTTGGCTTAAATCATAGATAAAAGTTACATGACCTCGTTACAATTTCGACCAGCATTAAAATAAAATAAGTTTTATATAAGTATATATATAAATTTAGCTAGCATAAAGGCTAAAATTTTGGTTTAGAATGTAGACAACTATCTAATGTGTGATTTTAAATGTATTAGGTAATAGTATTCTTGTAATCTTGCTAATTGAAATATTTGAACTAGCTATTTAAATATATTTATTAAATTATAACTATTTAACGCTAATGTTTATATGAATTTAATTTGCATAGCATCTTCTTATATCGATATATAAAAGATATTTATTATACATAATGATTTATATAGATTTATAAATATTTATCTCTTACATGATTTGGAAATGAAAGGTCCCAATAAACTATTCAACTTTATGAAAATTATATATATATATATTGTACAATACTAATTCAGTAATTGTTTTACTTGCATCAATTTAATAAATTTGGTTAGGCGGTTATCAATAATATACATTATCTTGTTTTAAAATATCTTCAAACGATGAAATTATTTTAAGATTTACTAATACATCTTAAAGTTTGAAGAAAAAAAAAACATCGACCTTAGATGTTTGCAGACATTTACAGAATTCGAAAATATCCGTTATAACTATACTATCACCAAACTTTCTGTTGGACTTAGAATTCTCTTATTGAAAAGAATTTTCTTTCAAAATTTGGTATATGCTATGTCACCTTTAACGCTAACGCCGAAACCTTAATGCCTATCACGTGAGGTCGTCTTATGATTGATGCACTGATGCGATCAACCAATAATCAACGATCGAAATGATCGTATGATAAAATCGATCAACTTTATTATCAGATATCAGCTTCTTGTTATAATTTTTTAAATGTTCAAACTACTAAAGTCTTGTACAAAGCCGGTCCAAACAGTAATAACTATTAAAATTTGCATTATTTATTTATTTTTTTTTGGAAAAGTATACTAATGATTCTTACAGTTCTCGGCCCCGGCATTATTCCGGGCTTTTCACGCCTCACAACCTTCTTTACGAGTAACTACTACAGAACCTTTAAGAGCTAAAGAAGCACCAGTTAGTGTTTTTTTTTTCAATAGAAAAATTTTAGGTGGTGAAAAAGGAATGTTTATCCTGACATTAATAGAATTATTTCTAAACAAACAGTCAACGATTTCAAACAAATATCCAGTAATTGATCACACGTATGATGCAATTGTAGTCGGTGCTGGTGGTGCCGGTTTACGTGCTGCTTTTGGTCTTGCAGAAGCTGGCTTTAATACTGCATGCATCACAAAATTATTTCCTACAAGATCACATACAGTTGCCGCACAGGTAAATTGGAAAAATGTAAAATTTAATATAATTAACAGTTAATTAAGATAATCAAACATTTTTTTTAGGGAGGCATTAATGCTGCACTCGGTAACATGAGTGAAGATGATTGGCGTTGGCACATGTATGATACTGTCAAAGGTAGTGACTGGCTTGGTGATCAAGATGCAATACATTATATGTGTCGTGAAGCACCCGATGTCGTAATTGAACTTGAACATTTTGGTGTACCATTCTCAAGAACTGAAGATGGCAAAATATATCAAAGAGCTTTTGGTGGACAAAGTTTAAAATTTGGGCAAGGTTTGATATAATATAATAGTTTTTAATTTCACATATTAAAATATTTGTTAAATATATGAGATTTTTAATAATTATTTCATCCGTTGCTTTTTCAATTTCAATTACTTTATCAATTGCTTTTTCAAGGTGGTCAAGCTTATCGATGTGCGGCTGTTGCTGACCGTACTGGTCATGCTCTTTTACATACATTATATGGTCAATCTCTAAAATATAGTGCCAATTACTTCATCGAATTTTTTGCACTTGATCTTTTAATGGAAGATGGAGTATGTCGTGGCGTAATTGCTATAAATCAAGAAGATGGTACCTTACATCGTTTCCGTTCTCACAAAACTGTATTGGCCACTGGTGGTTATGGTCGTACTTATTTTTCATGTACCAGTGCACACACATGTACCGGTGATGGAAATGCAATGGTCTCTCGTGCTGGATTACCTTTACAAGATTTGGAATTCGTACAATTCCATCCTACTGGTATTTATGGTTCTGGATGCTTGATTACTGAAGGTGAATATTCTCTTATTTCAACTTTTTTTTTCTCAAAAAGAAATATAATGCTAATAGTTAATTATAATTAATATTCAGGTTCTAGAGGAGAAGGTGGCTATCTTCTCAATTCCCAAGGTGAACGTTTTATGGAACGTTACGCTCCTACAGCAAAAGATCTGGCATCTCGTGACGTTGTATCACGTTCAATGACCTTGGAGATTCGTGAAGGTCGTGGAGTTGGACCTGAGCACGACCACATATTCTTGCAACTTTCACATTTACCAGCTGAAGTATTGCATGAACGTTTACCTGGTATTTCTGAAACAGCAGCTATATTTGCAGGAGTTGATGTCACTAAAGAACCTATTCCTGTATTACCAACTGTTCACTATAACATGGGTGGTATACCAACGCGATATACCGGAGAAGTATTGACAATTGATGAAGTTAGTATTAAGTTTATATTAAAAAAAATTGATTATAATTCAAAATTTTAATCTAAAATGTGTTTTTGCAGAAAGGCAATGACAAGATAGTTCCGGGACTTTACGCAGCTGGTGAAGCAGCTTGTGTATCTGTCCATGGTGCTAATCGTCTTGGTGCAAATTCTTTGCTTGATATCGTAGTATTTGGTCGTGCATGTGCTCACCATATTCGAGATACTTTGGAACCAGGAACACCACATAAGCCTCTCACTCCAGATGCAGGCACTAAGTCTATTGCAAACCTTGATAAGCTTCGTAACGCGAGTGGCAAATTACCTACCGCAGATATTCGTTTAAAGATGCAAAAGGCTATGCAAAAGGATGCTGCAGTTTTTAGAACACAGAGTTCTCTAGAGGAAGGTTAGAAAATGAATAGAACCCACTTTAATTTAATATTATAATTAACTAATAATTTTACATTTATTAAGGCGTTAAAAACATAGATGGAGTGTGGGAATCTTTCAAAGATGTCAAAGTATCCGATCGGTCAATGATTTGGAATTCTGATCTGATAGAAACTTTCGAGTTACAAAATTTATTGACTAATGCAGTTCAAACGTTGCATTCTGCGGTGGCCCGTAAAGAATCTCGTGGAGCTCACGCTCGTGAAGATTTCAAGGTAGATGATTGGCATTTATTAATAAAACATTTGAAATTAGTCGATTGACTTATTATTTTTTATTACTTTTTTAGGAACGTAATGATGCAGAATGGTTAAAACATACACTATCCTGGCAAGACCATCAAACGGGAGAAGTCACGTTAAAATACAGAGAAGTAACACAAAAGACATTAGACGAAAATGAATGTGCTAGTGTAATTATATATTTTATATTATTAATATTTTTCTTATTGTTTTAATGTTTCTAATTCCTGATTTAATGTTGCAATTTTAACGTTTTTATGTTATATAGATACCACCAAAAGCTAGAGTTTATTAGTAGATACAAATATGTATCAGTACACCGGAATTTATTTATAAAATACAGGACTTTTACTTTTTGGATGTACATTATTATAATCATTCTTTATAAATGAGTTGTTCTATTATAGTAAAATGAGAAATCATTCAAGCGCATTTGACAATGAGATTCGTTTCACACAAGAAAAAAAATAATAACCATGACTAATTTTAAATAAAAAAATTCATTCAATATATGTATCTGATAATTTAGTTAACAATTATTTATGACTACAATAAAACCTGGATTGAAAACTACTCTCCAGTAATTGAGATAAGGATTCGCCGGTAGAAGTCAGAAACTGTGAAATTAAATCATGATTCAAAGGTCGCAACTGCAATAAAGAATTTATATATCTATAACAGATGTTCGTTCGGTCTCGTATGTGACTTATAATCGGTATGGCTGGTTATTTAAGTGACAGGTATAAAATTCTTGCATCCCTCATGGTTCGGTTTGGTGATCCTTACTAGGAAAGTTGTCCTACGTAGAATCAAAGTAACTGTTAACCTGATATAGGTTGTAAATTAGTTAAACATGATAACACATATCGATATCGATATTTTCATGCTAATGTTTATTATTATTAGGCTAAATAAAAAAATCAGTCATATTAATAATCTTTCGATTTGAGATTTGATAGCTTGAATTTGAGGTCTAAGTTCAGAAGCTTCATTATTGGTAATTGAAGCAGCAATAACAGCACGAGAAACACCACAAGCACGGCCAAGAGCGGTTTTTGAAGGGACAAAAACATACGGAACGTTCTTTTTAAAATATTCAAAATGTTTAAATGAGAAATAAGAAAAGAGAAATGAGTAGTTGAAAAGAAATTTAGACTTACTTTATCTTCACATAATAATGGTAGATGTAATAAAATCTCTATCGGTTGTGCGTCAGCCGTCATTACAATAAATTCTGACATGCCACGATTAAGCGTTTTCGTAGCTATATTATTTTTGATGTAAAAAATGCGAGACACGTTAATTTAAAATTTTAATAACAAAATTAGGACCGAATATGCATATGAATGTCGGTCCATTTAAATTAAAACAATTTATAGTCTCTCGGTTTAAGAGCGGAATATGTAAATGTTACCTTCGTTAGCACCTTTTTTTAACTGTTTATAGTGCATTGCTTGTTGGACCAGATCTAGAATCTGATTCGTCAATTCAGCGTCCGCAAGTGGGAAAGCTTTTGGGTTGATTGTTGTAGTAGCCTAAGAAGTAATAAATTGATATAAAATAAATGTAAATAAAGTTGAAAATTCATTATTTGACATACCATTAGATCAGTTCAATGGAGATAAAGCAAAGCGCGAGTTACTGTAAAAAAAAAAAGAAACGATTTAACATATCTCGGGATCGGCGAAAATTTTTTTCGATAACGTGATGTTATCCGATCATATTCAATCCGAGATGTGCCCAATCATGTCTTTATGCAAAAATTTTAATTTCTATGTATAAAAATATGTCTGAATTCTGCTAATAATATTGCAAAGTCAGTTATGATGCCACCAAGGGGAAACCTACATGTTCTACTTTTTGAATATTTACTTTTAAAAAACAATAGATACTAAATTGTCTTGATTTTTATTAAAAGTAAATATTCAAAAAGTACATGTAGGTTTTCCTTTGGCGGCACTCATATAACAAAAAAAATTGTAAGTTTAATATAGTGTAATAATTTAATATGTATCATATAAGATCTCACAAGGAACTTTTGCGATTTAGAGGTTATAGTATAGAAGCATGTTACTTTATTATACTGTATATACATATAAGGGCCTGAAGCCGTGTCCCCAACCCTAGTTCGTTTAACATTTAATTTATAATGCCTCATACTAGATCAGGTTTTTTTTTTATTAGTTATTAAATATGATGTTTTGTCTATGTGCCAAGACCAAAACTTTTTGTTAATAACACAAAAGTATCTGGGGGAATGTTAAACGGAATTTAAGTTAAGACCTGAGTTGATTTAAGTTTGATTAGTTGATTATACAGTATATGTAAAAGTGCTAGCCTAGCTCTAACATATCCCAGAAGATTACCATTAAGGATTAGAGCTGTTTAGCCGCATAAAAATTGGTTTGTAGCGCCGGGCTGGATTATTTAAACAGTTAATTATATATTAGACAATGAAGAAAATTTTAGTCGGTTTCGATCCCTAATCAAGATTCATATAGTAATAATTGTCGCAGCTGATGCTGAAAACGGCTGATGATAAAATTCGAATCTATATTGATATGAATTTTAAAGTTTTTTTGGCTTTTTTTTATAGTTGAGTTAGTGTTTAGGGTTAGAATTGATAATTAAAAAGTATATGTGGATTTTAGCAGGGCTTATATTTTTAAATTGAGACCCAAATTTCAACTTCAGCCGTTTTCGGCATCAGCTGCGGCAATTATTATAACATTTACTGAAATGATTTAATCTACTTTATTAAAAATTAATAGCACATAAAAGCTGCATCAAAGATGTATATCTATAATGAAATTACCATTGCCAAAATCAAATTTGAAGCATGAATTTCAATCAATAAACATTTGACATGATGACCTTCAAATCTAAAACTTGATTGAAGAAATCTTGATAACTACATAGTCAATTTCAATGAGAATTTTTTGTAGGAACTATAATTCCAATAATAATAATAATAAATGTTTAGATTTGAAATTCAAATACGTATTTGATAAAGTTAAATATTTGATTGAATTTCAAGCTTTGAATTTGAGGAGCATTAATAACGATCACACAATTATCCATATAAAATGCATCTAATTTTTAAGATATATTCCATTTTTACCATATCGTCGCGAAATAACGCCCAGGAGCGTTATTTCGTGACGATATGATAAAATAAATTCTATTAAGCAATCGAGCAAAATTTTTAAGTCAGCTTATTATGCAGATTACAGAGAAGATACAATAAAAATTATCAAATTCCAAATTGTAATCTTTATAGTCTACTTATTAAATTGTTTAAAATTCTACCGTAAACGGCCATATAAAATACCCCTTGATGGTAGACCCTCTATTACCCGTGTCTGAACCAGGGTTAAGAATTTAGTGGAATGCAAGAGACCCGGGTTTCTTGATTAGTAATTGAAGCTGAAAATTAGATTATGCTGAAAATTTTCTGTATTTCATTATAAAATTGTAAAAATTTTTAGGGTCTTTTTCGTGGTCTTTTTTTTATAATTGGGTTAGGGCTAAGGATTATTAATAAAGAGTATATGTGGATTTTAGTAGGTACAGTCGTCCCTCTATATAATCACACAGTTGGGCACATAGTAAGTTTTTTTTAAAAAAAAAGTGCTTATAAAAAGGTTGTGCTTATATAGAGGGTTTTTTTTATTATATATTAAATCAAAGTATACATATGATGTGATTCTATAGAGGGTGACTATATGGAGGGTTGACTGTATCATAAGTTTAAAAAGAGACTCCAAATTTTTGGCATAATTCCCAACAGTAATTTATATTTAACAAGGAGAAATCTACCTATTACTATACCTGTATTTTAAACCAGAGTTCTTCTATAAGATTAATAATTTTAGTTAAAAGCCATAGTATCTGAATTATCATTATTATATAGAACTATATATAGAATTTGATTTACATAATACACTATACACCTAAGTATCGTTCTAAATAGATGCTGATTCAAATAAAGATTCGGAGTCTCTCAGCTTTTTGTATTTTGGTAAGCTACATAAGATGTGAAAAGTTTATTTTGAATGATACGAATATAACGAACATGTTGTATCTTATTGTTAGGGTGTTCAGAATTATTCTGCTAATGATGTCAAATTATGCTTGCTAATTGTATTAAATTTTTTTTTTTTCCTCCCTCGCTATCCTGAAGGTCCTTAGACACCTTTAGGATCTGTCACATCTCTTTAAAGGCCAAAGTTATCATTCAGCGGAGATCGTTGGACGGCGTGTGGCCCCTATATTCATCACCGTGCTCGTGCCCCTATATTCATCACCGTGCTCGTGGAGATAGCTCATGCTCCGTTAAGTCCATCATATGATGTCCCGGGTCCCTGGCTCCGCGGTGTAGGACCTACTATCTTTTTTATTCGGTCCGCAGTTCCCTAACTTCACATGACCCACCAGTCGGATCGTCCTTTATATCTAATGTTCTTTTAATCCTTTTTAGCTGGGTTTTCTCAATGTTAACGTCATTTGTTGACGGATTCGCCTTTTCTGGTCGTCCCCGACTCTGTGGCTATGCCGGCGGACTGCATTCTTACGTATAAATCTTGTTCTTTTCTCCAATGGGAAATCCTCCGAAGATCTTCCAATCGTGGTCCTGGCGAAGTTGCTATCATCCAGTGGGATTCGAACTTGCGACCTTGCGATTGTGACCCGGGAGCGCTAACCACAATTGTATTAAATTACACTTTTATGCTAATAATTTTTTTTTTAAAAAAAAAGAATTACTACATATACTTTTCAAATTACTGTAATTACTTTACAGAAACTGCTAATTTTGCAACTTTCAAAATACTTTAAAGTAACTATAAAGTGATTATATAATTATTTTATAGTAACTATAGTTTTAAAGTTACTTCAAAATAGCAACTCATCTATTACTATTTACTACTATTTTACTACTATTTACTATCTATTACTACAATTTTATAACCAATTTTAAAAAAATTAAAACTTCAATTCTTTATAAAATCATAGTAATAGTAAAATAGTAATAAAAGAGTAGTAAATTGTAGTAGTAGATGTGTCACTATTTTGAAGTAACGTTAAAACTATAGCTGCTATAAAATAATTATATAGTCACTTAATAGTTTAAAATAGTTTTAGAGTTGTTAAATTGGCAGTTTCTGTAAAATAGCAAATATATATTATACTGAAATTTAGAAATTAAACCTATTTTAAAATTTTATTAATTTGTAAAATTCAAAAATAAGTTTGAATATTAAAAGTAAACTAAGAATAAGTAAGATTCATTTATTCAAAATTTATAACAAAATGGATAAAAAAGTTAAAACTTTCTATTGTTTGGTTAGCTAATTAAAAAATCTAACAGAATAAAACTTTTTATTGTTTAGTAAGCTAACTGAAAGATCTAATAAAATAATAAATATTATATTAGAAAATTGGCATTTAATAAAATATTATAAAAAATAAGAGAATTAAAAAGGTTTTGTAGATTTTTGCGTGATATGTAACCATCAGAAAATTTTTAAAAAAGATTAAAATCGATTACAAGCTATAGGGTAATTGTAATCGATTTTAATCTTTTTTAAAAATTTCTTGATGACAACTACAGTAATTTGAAAAATGCAGTAAACTTTAAATTCAAAATGTATTAGATAATACTCTATTATCAAAATACCAAAATTAGGCTAGATTTTATGCTAACATAATTATGTTAGCAAACTTTAATTATGCTAAATTATACTAGTAACATAAAAAGCTTGTGTAAAATAAATGAATACTTAAATGAATACCTTGGCGAGAAATATACAAAAAGTTGGTTATTATTTTAATTATTATTACGTTCATTTTACCCGGTCCAATTTTGTGTATAAATATTTCATCGATCCGAGACAACTCAATTTTAAATTTATACCTCTTCGAATAGGTTCTACGAGCGCGGAACCCAATTTGATTTGAAAGTATGACGATTTTAACACTCACTGCAGGTGAAATTCACCGGGTATGCTATTTCTCAAAAAAGGCTTGAGTAATCGATATTCGGTATATTAATTAAAAATGTTCAGCGTCCAATAATCTTTCCCTAACCCTAAAGTTTAATTTTAACTTAAAATTTGAGGTAAAGTCATAGGCAGAAGTTCGTCTGATTGGCTAATAAATTCAATTTAATTTTACATTATTTATACAGTTTAGAATACTTTTTAAAAAAACGAAAACCAACCACAATAATGTAAAAAAAACTATATAGAAGGTTTCATTAGAGCTGTAGGACTCCATAGTCAAAAATAAGATCTAATTCTAGTCCGTTTTAAAAACTTAGCTTAGTAATAAGTTGATTTTATCGAGTTTTGAGAAGTTATTACTACACTAATTTTTTTAAATGAACGAGAATTAGATCTGATTTTTGCTTGTGAAGTCCTACAGTTCTAATGAAAACCTTTTATAAAGCTTTTTTTACTTCACTATAATTAGTTTTCGTTTTTTAAAAAGTACTCTAAACTGTATAAATAATGTAAAATTAAATTGAAACTTCTGCCTATGAGAGGTAAAGTTTTCTATAAATCATATAAGAATAGTTTAAAAAAAACATCGTAATGAATTTCA